TTATTAAAAACATTGTATAAATAGTTACACTTACAACAAACATATAACAAATAGTATTAATAAAAAGACTTGTAGTTTGTCATGTTTATGAGAAATACCAGTGTTAAGTAGCTCCCCTTCGATCGTTGGTGCGATGGTTAAATCAATATACACGGAGTCCATAGTTAGGTTATAAATTAATTCCTCCCAAAACTTTATTCTCTCTGGGAAGAATACATTCTCCACGGTTATATTAGTACTTTTCCCGTCTCCAAATCTCAGGAACTCGTGAGAATCTTTGTAATTTGGCCAGGGTGTCACTCTCCATGCTTCTGGTACTCTGTTAATTTGAATAATTGAACAACAATTGTCGTTAATATTTGACAAACAGATTCTTCTTTATGGTATTATTTTTTAAATAAAATTTTACGTTCTTCAATGTGAACCTTAGAAAACCCAAGCTGTTGCAAGGTTTAATTTAATGTCAATTAAAAAAAAAAAGAATAAACACAATATCTAATTCGTTTGTATGCAGTAATTAACGACAATTATTTTTTGACATGAAAATAGAGTATCAGTGGTCTACGCAAGTATTTTATAAAGATAATTGAAGTTTAAAATTTTGTGGACATTTGTTGACACTCTCTTATGCCGCCTAAAAATGAAAGTTAAGAATAAAGAAGTATAGAACGGAGTAAATATATTTACAGTATTAATTTTCGAAATATTAAAGTACCAATTTTTAAAGTATTCAAAATATTTAATACTTCACTTCTTGATGGAAGCATAAACTAAACGAATGTAACGTGAATTAGGTTTGAAATATTAAAAATAAATACTGGTTTTAATTTTTCTAATTTAAATGAAATTAATGTAAAGTATTTCGCTTTTTTGGAATTCGTACGAAGAATTATATTTAAAAAATAACGATGTTTCTTGAAATTGAATGTTTATGAAATAAAGAATGTAATATGAACATGCTTCATAATATTATAAACAATTAAAAAACCGCTTCGTTTCAGTTAAATGAAATGAATGTAAAATATTTACTTGAAGGAGAAATCATGTAAAAGAACAATTTTGGAATGAAATATTATTATAAAAACACTGAATGAACAATTTATACCCTTTGGCTGCAAAGTTGGCCCACATTTCAGTCATTATATTTATCATAGTTATATCATTTTCAGTATTATGTAACATCTGATCCTTGAATTGCATGTTTAGTACTGGAAATAAGTAATTCAAATCATCAACATGCGAGACGCCTGAAAACATAAAATATCCCATGATTATAATGACATTCATTTGTATCTAACAATAAATAATTAATACGCGGTCGTTCATTAAAATATTCTAAATATTCTCATAATTCTTCAGAAATGAAACAGTGAGGTGATGAAATAAACTAATAATTTTCTCCAAATAATAACATTTTCAATAATTATCAGTTACTATCCAGAAATGTAACATTATATTAATAATTATAGGTAGACTTCTATGAAAATCTCATTTTTTCAGTATTATGTAACATCTGATCCTTGAATTGCATGTTTAGTACTGGAAATAAGTAATTCAAATCATCAACATGCGAGACGCCTGAAAACATAAAATATCCCATGATTATAATGACATTCATTTGTATCTAACAATAAATAATTAATACGCGGTCGTTCATTAAAATATTCTCATAATTCTCCAGAAATGAAACAGTGAGGTAATGAAATAAAGTAATAATTTTCTCCAAATAATAACATTTTCAATAATTATCAGTTACTATCCAGAAATGTAACATTATATTAATAATTATAGGTAGACTTCTATGAAAATCTCATTTTAAAGAATGTAATAATTTTTCTCACAAAATGAACGAAAAAAGAAACCAAATTATATTTCCACACGTTAATTGTAGATATTAACGATTTATCGAACATCGATCGATTCACCTGATAATTAATAATCATTTGACAATTCTACATTAATTTATTTATTCAGCACTACGTAGTTATTAAATAAATAATAAAGTTATTATTAGTGTATTATAACTATGTCACATACTTCAATTGTCTTTTAACTATAAATCAGAAAATATAAAGTTAGGACAGAAAATAATTATGGAAAAGGTAAATTAACAAAAAAGAGACAAACTATACGAAAGATGCAGAAATTTTTGGCTTTCGATTAGTAAAATATCACAATTAACAACTTACAAGAAACTGCCGATGTACAAAACAATTCTGAAACCAACTATGGAGCACAATCTCTAATTCCGACATAAAAACAATAGGGAAATGGCAAAATAAAAAATTAATATCAAAATGGCAACGGTATAAAAAATATTAATATTTATATTTATAATTTCATCAATTTTCTCTACTTTTTGTGTTGCGGAGATAACCGATGTGGCAAATGAGGGGCTCATATGAACTCGTTTTAAAATGATTTCTATGCTCACCATAGTGAACCAGAGATCCGGTGAGGAAAGTGTGGCTAAAAGTGCCCTGGTACGAGAACAAATAAAAATAACTGTTGGAATTCATCACTTCCGATTGATAATTCAACATTTGTTGCGCTGCATAGAAAAATGCAGCATCGGTAAGCACCTGTAAAATTTAAAAACTCAGGAATAAAGTTTGCAAAATCCGTTAAAGGGATCTTTATATAGACGTCTAACATCAAATCTTTTCTACTACTTCCCATTCCATCGTGATTAATTATTAAACTCAGACTCTAAGAACTTTTCTTCAAAAGAGAAAAGAAAAACTGTATTTGAAATTTTCGTTCGAATAGGATAAACATTCCTAATTTTTCATTCTCAACTTCTCCCCATTACATTTCACTGCAAGTCAGGAAATTTTTCTTCTGATTTTTTAAATGCCGTCTATACATAAAGAAGAAGACGCACCTCTGTGATATTTTGCACCAGCGTCGATCGAGAAACGTTCCCACCGAAATAGAAATCTTCAATTGCGGTCGCAAACTCGCTCGTGTTCGAAATTAGTTGATAATAATTCGTTAAGAGGGGCAAGTACCTATCGAAGTTGTCGACCAGCTCGTCTTGCATGGACTCGTGCACCAGGATAACTGCGAATAAAAACGATGAACTTCTTAAATAATTTCATTCAAGGTTACAATCGTATCTCGTGAGAGTAATCGTTGTATTTGGTGAAAAAACAATTTTGAAATAATATTTCGTAAATTATCAGACTTTGAATCGTGGTTTGCACGATCCTCAGGTGAGTGTAACTTGATTTTTCTGTTTGAAAAGTAAGAAAGCTTCAATGAAAATGGAAGATTCTATAGTTTTTTTTTTTATTATTCGAAGTTTAAGATTCAATTATTTATTAAGATTCGATATGTAAAAATTAACAACGTAAATGTTAAATAAATCGTTGATTTAATTTATCGACCATCTCGTGTGAATATATGGTCTTTTAATTTTCTGAAATTGGAAGTATATATGGAATGGCTAGATACTTGTTTTAATAAATTACTCGTAATTGTAATATGGTGGTGTTAGAATTTTTTGCATTAGTAATTGTTAATTTTTGTTTAATTTACCGTCTGTTTTGATTAGTCCTTCGTCTTGAACGACTCCCATGATAAATGGTATGTCCTTGTAGAGGCGATTTTTGATCGTTACCAAAGGGGGCATCGTTATGATGGCGTCCTCTGAATCCTCTTCGATGGTGGGTCCAAACAAGCAGCAGGGATTTTCCCTCCACACGTACTGTGTAATAGATACATGAAATTGACTGTTAATTCGCTATTATTTAATGTTATGCAAAAATTCACTGGTTAAAATATATGTTACTACTATTTTACTGTTATTAAATATTGCACGAAAATTCACTGTTTAAAACAATATTTAATACCATTTTACTATTTTTTAGTAACATTCTAAATTTCACTGTTTAAAATAAAATTTTAGTACCACTTAGCTATTATTTAATATTATCTTAAAATGATTTTTATTAATAAAATTCATTGCTATCTTACTATTATTTGATGTTATACTAAATGCACTGTTTCAAATCAAATTTAATACTGTTTCATTCTTATTTTATATTATTATAAGAATTGGTTATTATATAGAATAGGTTAGATTAGGTTAAAAATAAAACCCTGGAACCTAAGAAGTTACAACAAATTGAATCTCATTATTCTTATTTCCTATTCGCAGAGCTGTAAAATAATTTTTTTGTAATATTCTTGTTCACTTTAAAAATAAGCCTGGCATTTTTTAAAATTACGAAACTTGAACAAGTGAAGAAACAATTAATTAAACGATTAAAAATACCTAAAATGATTTCTTACCAAATCCAAAAGTACAGGGACGATCTTGTTGGCCTCAATGTTTCTCAAACACGACATCATCTCTTCTTCCTGCTCTTCGTCATACTCTTCTTCCTCGTCGAGATAATTCTCCTCTTTTTCAGTCGTCTCTTCAGGTTTCACTGTCGTCGAGTTTCCCTCGAAATGACCTTCACTCGTTGTTTCATCCTCCTCTTCTTCCCCTTTTTCTTTCTCAGGAAGACAACCGAGTGTCCTTGCTACCTGAAATCCCGCGAGTCTCGCCCAACGCGGTGCATTCAGAGCCCACGGGCAAATGGCAAACCCGCTCTGCACAATGTACCTGTGGAACAGTCCGTCCGTTTTGCTGCTCAAGGCCAACAGGTGCACCGTGCTACTACCAGAACTGTGGCCCCATAGCGTCACGGAATTTGGGTCACCATGAAACGATGCAATGTTCTCCTGTACCCATTTTAACGCCATTCGAATGTCTTTTAGGCCATAGTTACCTGGACTCGCTTTGCTGCTAGTGCTGAGGAAACCTAGGTCAATGACGAGGATTTAATCGTTAGAAACTGGGTTTTAAAAGTGGGACTTGTGAATGGTACTTATTTATACAGGGTGTTCGGTAACGATAGGAAGAATTCGCTGTACAAGAGTTATTACGAAGAAATCTGAACTAATGACGAGAAATTACACGTTGAAAATAATGTTTCAGAAGTGGAAACTACGAAAGGTAATTTTATACAGAGTGACCAGTAATTACGTGAAGAAACATTTACCTTTTGGGGTATTGACACGTTCAAACGAAATTAAAAAGGCACATTAAAATATTGTATAATACAGTGTTAAGGACACCTTAACAAATAAAAAATTCTGCTGTTTTTCAGATCATCGAATACTACAGTTAAGCATCTGTTTTTAACTTTACGATCTGGAAAACCGGTGAATACTTTGTAACAACGTTTTAGTCATTTCATCTAACTGTCAATAGCACCGAAAATAATTTGTATGTTCGCTATAAGCGAATGACCCTGTATATTACAGTGGTTCAGTTATGAAATTATCATTACCTAGAATATTCAAACGATAGTTTGGCGTGACTAGGATTACATTTTGGTCCATCAAGTAGTTTGGCGGAAACATGCGGCTGGATCCGGAGATGTATATTCCGCCGTGTATAAATACCATCACCGGAAGTCCTCTGTTCTCCTCTCGTTTCTCTGAAATCTACAAACATTTCCATTAACAACGTCACTGTATGTACAGTAACAAGTCGATAATCCTAGTTAACAGCAACAATAAACAAACGCAACTTCAAAATGTGTAACACACCGGGTGTCCTTGAAGTAGCCAAATATTACAGTTGAAATTCTGCGGATAGCTAAGGAAAAAATAAAATAAAAGCTCTTAAAAAACAAGAGTTCTTGAGACGCGAAAATTGTGCAAAAATTTCCTCAAATTTGCAGATTTTTTCAAAAGTCGTTATTTATATCGAGTTCCTCGTTGAAAAATAAAGAAACGTCATTTATTTAATGTCGCCACGAAAGGGTTAAACGCACGTACAGTGGTAAATTAGAAAGTTGAAGACGGGATGAAGTGACATGAAAAATGAAAATAGGGAGTGATCATCGAAGAATATATTTTCATTTTTCATTATGCATTTTATTTGGTACGGTCAAAATGATTTGTGCAATTCTCGACATCAGCGAAGTATATTTTAGTCAGTTTAAAGAGAAAGACCAAAAATAATTGATAGGGAACTATTAAAACCAAGGAGACTTAATTTACAAAAATTTACACACTATAATATTTCTTAGTAAAGGACAGTCTTATCTTGCTAAATGCGAAACGGTCTTATTATGCAATGTTAATCTAAGTACCGTGACACATTGGAATATAGTTTAAAAGTGAATATCAGTGAAAAGTGGAAAACTAAATATCATAATGTAGAAACGAAATTTCTATGTAAAATAATACTTCGTTAATCTTTTAGTACGAATATATAAAAATGGCGATTATCATAACATTAAAAACTATTTACAGTTCCTTTCATGTGGTTAATAGTGAAAGGAAAGATTCGAGAAAAGTTCATTTCTAATAATGAAAACATTAATACATCATTGCGTGAAACATTGAGACAATTACCTGTCTCATAGGCTAAAAAATTGAAGACTGGACTAATATTTGAAAATATTAAAATAAAAATAAAGTAGCAAGGTACGTGTAAAAAGTAAATGTTAATATATTTTCTTAAGAAATAAAATTTTCGTTTACTAGTGACACTTACAAGCTTTTTTATGTCCAGTCTTTAATTAGCCTAAGATTGTTATTATAGTGGACTTTTCCATAATAAATTTCCAAAATTTGAAACAGAAATTTCAGAATATATAATAGAAAAAGGTATTCAATTTTTAAATACTAAAGCGACTTATGAACCATCCTGCATAATGAAAAGGATTATACTTGTCATTAAACAAGTGCAATTTCAGACTCTCTCACTACAGCCTCTAGACATTTGATTTTCCCTGTCATTAAAAAAAGTGGAAAAAACTATTGCTCTTTTAGAGAGTGCTATTTCAAATGAAACTATAAAAATACTTCACCTTGAATCGTTTAGATTTAATTAAATCGCGAGTGGACCATGTGATCCAATCGAGCTCGCATTTCAACGAACATTTCTACTCGTTCTATACTTGTTTAGAGTTCCGTGTGAATTCTGCGTTTTACGCGTGCACCGTCTCGAAAGCAATATATCCAGCGACGATTCCGAATGCTATCGCAGCTTTCAAGCGGAATTCGTGATAAAGTTTTAGTATTTCTCCTACTTTATCGAGATCAACTATTCATTCAAGAATTTCTGCTTTTCTTCTCAATTTTCACAGTTATTAGCTGTGGTTTCTCTGTCACTTTTTTTTCCTCTTCGAAAGAATACTTATTTCTTTTTAACTCACCGGCGTTCCATATCGCATCTCTAATACCGCGTTAAACATTTCTTCATATATGAGACACTCAGAAGGCAAAACGGTTAACTCCACATTTTCAAATTCTTCCAATTTTAGTATCAAATCACATGCTTGGTGCTTAACTCGTCATAAATAAAACAAATATTTAATTTGTTGGAGATAGTCACTTTGACTTCTTAATGGATCGTACACAACCCCTGCTTTACGATTCATTTAGTAGCTCAGCATACAAGCGTTAGCTGTACACTGTTTTAATACTACGTCAGGTAACAGAAGCTAAAATATTGCACATTATTCACATTTGACAATTCTCAGATTTACAAGTTAAAACTATAGCTGCAACGAAGATGAATCTTTCTTGCTAAGTACGGCTGCTTTTGTCGCACCTTGACCATAATCTGTGACACGAGTCTGACTTAGAATTAAACCCTTGAAAGCATTCAATTGCTACCTAACATTCATCTCCATAAATCATAGAAGATAATTCGACGAATACTTAACCCTTATGTTAATAACCACAATTGTCGTCTACTTTATCGTACAATTTTAGTAGTCTTCTAAGAACAAAAATTCTAAACTTGAAGCAAACACCAAATAACAAATAAGAAGGAAGATGAAATATTTTAAGTGAGAAAATGTGCAAAACGGTACCCGATTATTGACGTAGGAGTTAAATAACTACCGAAATAACAAATAAATAGAATACAGTATATTGTACTTACTATGGGTACGTAAATATTCAGATAGAGACAATCTTCGTTTCCATGAATTTGCCCTCCTTTCCCTAGCTGAATGCACATGTTGCCATATTCCGTTGCCGAGTAGGTCTCATTCCACGTACGCTTCCAGGGCTGTGGACTCTGTCAATGGAGTATCATAAAACATAAAGGAGTATTAACCCTAGAGCTGTCTTCGGGTCTTTTTTGACCCACCGCCTTTTTATATTTTTAGTCATTTTTGCTGTTATCATGTTTACGTTCCATAACATTATTTTAAACGTTTATTGTCTAGGTTCATATGTCGCGTTGGAAAGAAAAATTATTGCACATAAGATCCTAGGTCCTTTGTGACCCAAAAGTATTAAGTGTACAGTCAAAACGAAGAACGCAGTAGGGTTAACACGAGCAGTGCTTTATTTCAAGCAAACCGTCTAAATCATTGATGAGCCACCTCTTTTTTGCGGCAGGAAAAATTGAAAACCCGTTAATCCAAATTTAACCCTTATAGTGCTTTTGTTGCTTATACGCGCTTTGAAAATTTGCTCGCTTTTTGGTACACTTTCACCTTAATTTAAGCCTTGACTCCTGTTCTTTGTGTACTTCCACCTTAATTTTTAAAATAATGAATCTTAATTTAAAATTTTTTTTTTAATTTGGAAACTCGAAACAAATGATTTTGCGTTCCGGATTGAACGTCCACCGTCTGCCCCGCGAGCTACGTAGAAAAATCTGCGACAGTGGAAGGGATAAAAGCATGTAATTTATTAATTTAAAACTAATTTTATAAAGTGCAATTTTTCATTCTCAACAATGGATATATTTTTATTTTTTTTTATTTTCTGAAAGTGTATCTAGGAGTCGTAACTATTGTCATTATTATATTGTTTCTACTGAAACCATACAATCTTATCGAAAAGGTCGTAAATGCATAAAATTGTCACTTTATGAATAAATTCAGTTAGTTGCAGATTACTTATCTCTGGCCTAAATTATAAATTGGTATTCTGCGATATTTTTGTGTTAATATTTAAATGAAACTCAACAGAACGTATAAGGCAATTCAATTTTAAAATATTGATTTAGAGAAAAATTGTGACGAAAGTGGGGTACTTCTGGTAGATTGAATAAAACTGGTACTGTTGAATATTAATATTGATTTTATTTAATCAATTGATGATATTTTAAATGATTATAATTGAATCTAGGAATTCTGGATAAACTTATAGTAATAGCTTGTTTCAAGAATGCATAGATAATACTGGTGAATAAATTAAAATATAATTGCAAGTATAAGGACAATCTTTAACTCTCTGAAGTTACTAAAAATATTATAAATTCCACTATAGTTCTTAAGTATTAAAAATTTCCATTTAACAAATCTCTGTTCTAATCTCATAAAAATTGCAGAAGTATCCATTGCGAATTTAATTACGAATGTACAATGAATAATGCAAAAAAATACAACAATGTTCAAATCCTGCTCCTTGAACTAGCGGTAGATTTTTCCAAATAAATAAACAATTAATAGATACACAATTTCTTTTGTAGAATTTCGATGTCAATTGTCAATGTCTACAACTTTCCAACATTAGGTCCAACTCTCAGTTACATTAATCCTTCAATTTTCAACCTCACCCAATGTCCAATATCATTAATACTTTATTTTTCAATCTCATGAAATTTCCATTCTCATAATCCTCCAATTTTCAATCTCACACAATTTCCAATTTTATTAAGTCATTTCAATTTTCAACTTCATCCAATTCCCAATTTTACAAACTCTTTAGTTTTCAACCTCATGAAATTTCCATTTTCCTGTCCTTCAGTTTTCAACTTCATGAAATTTCTATTCTCATATCCTCCAATTTTCAACCTCATGAAATTTTCATTCTCATAATCCTTCAACCCTCACCCTCGTCCAATTTCCAAACACAGAAAAACCCTTCTACTCACCCTGAATCTCAGATCACCAACAGGAGGCTCGGCATAAGGGATCCCCAAATATTGTGCGACCAGTCTTCCCCTGGTACTCCTGCTCCACATACCAATAACCGGGCCAAACTTCGTCACCACTTTTGTTGTCGAGGACCCCTCTAAACCACTCACAACCATCGAAAGCACCATCAACACACTCAACAATTCCTTCCAAACTAATCCACCGACTATCCAATATCCACGTTGTAATCGATTCATTTTAGCTAGAAGTGCTTCGCGCGGTTACGAGCGGCTGAATGTGACTGAAGCGTGGTGCAACCGTTCATCAGTGGCTGTGGCATGTTAGGTGAGGGACGATTAGGCTGATTCACTTTGCGAAACGTGGCGCTGAGTCAAATGTGTCCACCACCGATCTCTCTGTCTCTTCTGATTTCTTTCATTTCACCTTCCGTTTCACGCTGGTCGAGTTGTTCTCTCGTGAAACGAGTGTTGGTGCAGCTTGTTGGGCAAGAGTTTACTTGCTGAATCTCAGGTCGGGAATTGAAGCGCGTGTTTAGGATTCTAGTGAAAGTTCGTTATGTAAGGCATCTGTTTGGCAAGGTGGGTCGCTTTCGTTCTACCTGTGCTCGTTCGTTCGAGGATTATATGGGTATTGCTGATTTGGTTATGCTTCGGTTCCTTTGGGAGCATGTGTTTTGAGGGTTCATAGATAGCGTTTATGTGACATCTTTTGATTCTATTCCAGTCGTGCGTTTACGGTGATTAGTTGTGCAACGTGATGATGTGATTTTGATGTGCGTATGGAAATTTAGTTAGACGGGGTAGTAATAATTGAAATTAACTATTTGTAGTCATCTAAGTATTCGTTGTACATTTTTACAAATTGAAAAATTAAAATTTACGCTTTTTCTATGAACTTTGATAAGCTGTGCTGTTAAATGCGTGAATTTGTGTGAAATAAGGAAAGTGGTAATTTGATTATCCTCCTTTTTATGAATAAAATTTTCAGTTATCGAGTTATTTAAATTTAAGTCATTGTTAAAAATTAGTTTAAATTTTTTCAAATGAAAATTAAAGAATAATTAGTAACCAATATTATTTTACCAAATTTGTACAAACTCTGAGAATAAGTTTGGTAACAATTTCTCTTCTATTAATAAAATTCTCAGTCGTAAAATTATATTTTCTTATTCTCCTGTAAATATAATCAAATGTTACATTAATTATTCGATTCCCTGTGTTCAAATTATAAAAATTTCACAAACGCCACTTAATTTTTGCCAACGAATAGTAAGAACAAATTTCAAAGTAAATTCCATTAAATTCGATTTATTCCTAAAGATTAACGCTATTGTTAGAACAAATGTAAAATACAAGCTTCTACGGACAAAAAAAATGAAGATACACTGTGGCTTACTTGTTTGTTTCAGCTTAATTGTTATGCTCATTTCTGCTGATAGTCAAAACATTGTTACATTTGACGGCATTGATGAATCAGAGGCCAGGGTTACTGTGTCGTTAAAGCTGACCTTTATGCCGTCATGGTTTGTTGATTTTTTTGTCGGTCGATCCGATACTTCCTGCACTTTATTTATGTACTTGCACCGTGTAAGTGCTTGGCTGCTTCATATACGTCGTATTTTCCTCTGTGAGAAATATTTACTATAGTTTGAACTAAAAAAACATTGCGTCTTTAGAAACTTGTTTACACGAGGTTTGCAAAAGTTGTTTTATTCATGATTACGATGCAGTATTAACTGCCAATGTTTACCTTAGGATTGACAAAAGAAAATCGTCAAAACATAAGTTAGTTCATAAGTTTATGTGGTTTCCCTCAATATGAAATCTTCAGTTTTTTCACAACTATTTAACACAAATTAATCAATGACTGGTATTCTTCACCATTATTCACAACTTCTTAATCTTTCGATAGTTTTTGGATTCCTCGTTTGAAGAATTTCATGGTTTTGTAGGCGAATCGATCTTCGTGCCATTTTTGCTTTTTGCATTTCCATGTCGTTGTGAGAGGAAAATCCATTTAGAGCATTTTGAAGCGAGTGAAAAAGCTATGGATGCTGGAGAACTTCCCATCCAAGGCCCTGAAGAGCCATTTTTGTCAGCAGCTTTAGAATCACTATTAACCTCATAAAGTTAAATAGTCAGAGATGCTCAAAAAGTCGGAGGTGCTCCTTTTCGTTAACTCGACACTTCGTAGTTTTTGAATAAAATACCTTTTTATTATTAGTACAGAACGAAAAAATTCACAATAAAATAGAAGAAAAAAAGGCGAAAGCAATGGAATGATATACGTCACATAGCCTATAGTTAAATTTCATGAATTTTATTCAACGCGAAATGAAATCTGCAGAAAATTATGGATCAGCTTAATGTTTAGTAAATAAAAATGGAACTCTTATTCACACACTTCTGACACAGTGAAATTGCGAGTATATGGGTGAAGCGATCTCGGACACCTAAATTTAGGACAAAACAAAATTAGGAATATTTTCAGTGTAAACAAGGCTTAGTACCATAATCAAATTTGTTTAACTGACTTTAAAAAATTCTTTTCTTTGTACATTTTATTTCCAAGTTGTAATTAAGTTATTTCGTTTAATTATTAAGGTTGAGGATTTTTCGTATTCAACTTATTTTTGTATATTGGTGTAAAAATTATGGTTTCGTTTT